GAAAAATGTTTCCCAGGGATGATTTTCCTTTATTCATTTTCTGCACATAAACATTTTTTTTTTAAAAAAAATGTTTTTTCAGTGAAATTTAGAACTGGAAGCAAGATATACCTATATGCATATTTAATGAATGATGGGATTTTTTAACTTTGGAAAGTACATATTTTTAAATATTAAACTTTTAAATATTAAATATTTTTGTCTGTATTGAGATGCAAATGGATGTTCCAGATCATGCCCATGTGTATTGAAAGTAATATGAAAAGGAATGCTTTGCACCTCTGTCTTACAACTTGCTTCCAGATTGCAGTTTTAAAGCTACCTCCCATTTTAAAATTCCAAGCCAACATTCCAAATAATTCAGGCCCTTCAGTATAATTTCAAATAGTTTTGGATTAATGCAAAGCCAGAATTATCCACCCAATGCCTCTGTCATCACCTGGAATTCCATGTTGTTTTTCAACCTTTATTTTGTACCCTCTAGTTTAAACTGAAATGAGCTGTAAACATGGATTTCTGCTAGACTGTTATCAAATCACCTTCTAAATGACTTCAAAATTATCCCATAACCCCTTAAACAGGTGCACATTAATTATGTTCTTTTAAAATCAGGAATGTTACTAACTCTTTCTCCTGTGTGCTAAATCAGAGGAAACAAGAATGGTCTAGAGAACTGCACCAACGTAAGCTTTTGAGGTTAGTCAACAAAGCAAGTATAATCTCAGGGTGGGTATCATTACTGAGTAGATAGAAATAGATTTGAGCACCATGAATGTTGAGCCCATTATGACTTTTGGCCTTGGGTTCATATTAAGACTAAGAGTAGTTCAGAATTTTATTGCCACCATGACCTTTCCTCAAACATATCTAACTCAATATATTGTACAGTACTTCTTGGATTAGACTTCTATCCTATGGTAAAGAAAACTATCATATTTACTTATTTATTTACTAACTCACTTGCCATATCTATCTATCATATGGGTAATCTGCATACCCCCAGCAACCCAGCCCCAATATGTACAATCATGTTGTCTCCATATCTATGGCCAAATCTGTCTATTTTAGGCTCCATGCGGTATTTAGCCCCTGAAGGAAAGAATAAAAAAACGACTCCCCATTTTCTTGAGAGATTCAAGATGTCCCTGAGGTATTTGACTGAACATTTGGCTGACAAACCTGCTCCTGGAATAAGCTAAAGACTAAGAATACAATTACTGCAAAAAAAAAAAAAAATTCTCAGTCAAGACAAAGAGTTGCTACACTAGGGAACTGAGAACACTGAAAAATCCACGATTATTAGCAAAATAATTTCTGTCTATTGTTCCCTGCCCCCTCCCCTCACTCCAGTTTAATGTGCTGGTCTTCACCTTTAGAGTACTAAATGGGGTGATATTGTACAGCTTTCTGATTGGTTACAAAGAACCTATTTCCTGGCCTATAGATAAAATATGGAATAAGTACAGGGCATTTTCTGTGGAAACTTGAAATTTGTAGAAGTCTTCACTCCAAGAACTGGAAGTGGCCACATTTTTTTAAATACAGTGGTACCTCGGGATACAAACTAATCCATTCCGTGACTCTGGACGTATCCCGAGTTGGTCGCAACCCGAAACGGTTGTTAGTAGATGCATTCGTATCCCGAGGTACCACTTGTATCTTTTTTTTTTTAAATGTAAAACTTTGTTTTTAATTATTTTGGCCTCATAATTAATAATTAGGTTTCTTTCCTTACATTTGTCACTTTTAATTGGATTGATGTTATATGTTTTTAATAAACTCTGTATATTACTTTTATAAATCAACCAATCAGTGAAATATATTCAGAGAAATAGCATATTTGGTTAGGGGGAAAAAATCACACATGATCCCTGTACGAAGAAATGTATGTTATCTGATTATTTGTAATTTCTTGCAATGGTGCCCTATAGATATAGCAGTTTCATCATGGTGGATGGAAAAACTGCTGAAACAAGAGGGCTTTTTTGAAAGTTGATAACTTATGCACGGAGTGCACTAAACTTACTGGGACATCTGTGTCAACAAACTAACTGCAGCAGAATATAATATATTTCTTTACATTTATCAAGTTATTTCTTTCAACTGTTGAAAATGTGGTGTCCCCCATAAGTCTTCCTTGCTATATATGAGTCCCTAAACCTTCATTTCTGATAAAATACCCAATTTTCTACCAATTGTACCTCTCTTTTCTTACACTTATAGCTCCTTTTGTAAGTGCTTAAGCCTTACAATCAGATTAATGGCAAAGCTTTCAGCCTTATAAGTCTAAATTGTATCTCAAATTCATTCATTAGATTTGGACTCTGTTTCATGGATGTTAGCTTATAAGAGGGGTTTGTATCCCTCTTATATCCCAATGTTGTTATGAGTTATACTCTGGGGAGTGTGCATTCACAGAACAGTTACCTATGACATGGAAATTCACTGATGATGGTTTAGAGTAAATATTATCAACTGGAGAAGGAAATGGTAACTTGTTCTAGTATTCTGCCAAGAAAATCAAATGAACATTCACAACCATGACAATGTCAACATGAAACTAGAGGATGAGCTCCTCAGGTCAGAAGAAGGTATCCAACTAGTTACTCAGGAGAGTAAGGAGGAGTAGCCCTGGGGCTTATGATATGGTTGGATTAACGATGAAAGGACATCTAACTTCTGGTACAGCCAGAGGCAAAAGGAAAGTTCAGTGCTATAAAGATACTATATGTATGCCATTGGAATGTACAATTTATAACCTACCACAGTCATGAGACTCATGGTGGTTTACAAAAATCAGGAGTCTGGTAGCATCTTTTCTAACAACAAATTTTATTAAAAGGCATAAGGTTTTGTGAGCTGCAGCTCACTGCATCAAATGCATTGAGTAGCCAAACTCTGATGGAATGGAATTATGAAGGCCAGGCTCAGAGAGATAAACATTTTCTTAGCTCGCTGGAGGAGTGTGGGAGCTACAAGAGGATGAGACTGGCACCTCCCTGAGGGATTCACACTGTTGTGGCTGGTTTAAATTGGAATGAGGTAGAGTGGAGAAAGGAGGAGAAGTTAGATTGGTGGTTTACAGTGATGAACATAAAAACTAAAACATTCACATAAAAAATAACCATCAATCCTCTAGGTATCATGCCTCACTATAAGCCCTCCAGAACTGCTGATTTAGAACTGTTGAGATCAACTTTAGTTCAAGTCAGAAGTTATTCCAAAGTATAGGTGCTGCTTCAGAAAAGAATGTACTATGTAGAAATGGGAAATCAGCAGTTTCTCATAGGACAAATGAGTTAGCCAGGTTGTTTCTGGTTTCTGGTTGGTGAAAATAGTCCTAAAGATATTTCAGTGCTGAGAAACAGAGGGCTTTTGGGGTAATGAGCAGCACCTTGAATTGCACTATAAATATGTTGTGTGGCAAGTGTCAGCTAATAAGTGGGCTGCTGTGTTCTAGATTAACTTGGTAGTCTTCAAGGGCAACCCCACGTAGAATGCATTGCAGTAGTCCAGTTGCATGGTAAGAAGGCATAAGTTACTGTGCAAAGTCTCCCACCCAAGCAGGGTTGCTACAGGTACACCAACTAAAGCTGGGTGAAGGGCCCATAAGCAGTGGCTTCTACCTGTCCATAAAGCCATGAATCCAGGACGCTCCAAGATCATGGACTTGCTATTTCAAGGGCAGTGCTTCCATCTCTAAAGACAACACTGGAGCTGTCAGACCATTTTTATGAGCACACATGCATCCATCCATCTTGCTAAGATACAACCTCAGCTTGTTTCATCCCATCCAGACAGCCTTCAAACACTTTAGCAACACATTGACAACATTTCTGCCCATCCAGAGAAGGTAATATAAAGTTGGATATCATCAGAGTTTTGATGATACTTCACTCCAAAACAACAAATGAATTCTCCAATAGCTTCATGTAGATATTAATATGTGGGGGAGAGAGAACCAAACCCTGAAAAATTCCATTTGACAGTGACTGACTGGCTAATCTCTCTTTCCCAATAACCATCATTTAAAATCATCCACTAAGGAGCAGAACCTCTGTAAAACAGTGAATGTTTTCCAATCCCAATTTCAAAAATGGTCCAGAAGAATACCATGGTTACTTGTACTGAAAGTGCTGAGGGGACTAAAAGAACCAGGCAGGGCACATTACCTCCATCTTGGTCCCCAAAAAGGTCATCAGCAAGAATAACCAAAACTGTCTCTGTCCCATGGCTAGACCTAAACTCTGATTGAAAAGAATCCAGATAATCCACTTTTATTAAGATGCTCCCTAGTTGTGCTACTAGCATAGTCACGATTGCCTTCCTAGAAAATGAAAAGCTAGAGACAGGATCATGATTGTCAAGGATGGCTAGGTCCAAGAAGGGCTTCTTAAGGAGGCAGTTGCTCACTGCCTCCTTAATACCTTGCTTCAAGGACTACCTCCCGCTCAACATACCCCTCCTTGGCCCACAAAGGAGCCAGTAGAGATAGGGATCCAAAACGCAGGTGGCTGAAGACATAGTAGAGAAAATCTTATCTATTTTCTGGCCTGGTTTTTAAGAAGTTATTGAAAACGAAATTATTTTGGAGAGCATACTCTTCTTTTATTGCATAATTTTTATTATTTTTATTTACTTCTATTTTTTTTTTATTTATATTGGTGTTTTACCATGAATGTTTTATGTATTATTGTTTTGTATACTTGAAAGCCACTGAGAGTCACTTGATTGTGGCAAGGTGTAAGTTCAATAAATAAATAATAAATAAATGCTGCAGAAGTGGCTCACAGGTGAGATATCTGCCCGATATCTTGACCCAAGAAGGAATTGGCTACCTTAAACAAAGCCATTGGCCTGCAGCCCACAGTATAAGAGAAGCAGTGACATGTCATTTCTCCTATTGACACAGTACAATAAGTCACTTGGTTGAGATGGGCTGCTATAGAAATTAAATAAATTAAATAAATAAGCAAGCAAGCTTGAACCTGATTTCATACTCATGCTTGGCAGGTTTCCAATCTTGTCTTTCTTCACCAGCACTCAAGGTGTCATTCTTCATCTTCTGGTGTTCTTTGGTAGATCAAGGTGCCCCCCAGGAGAAGCAATGACCACTCACAAGCAGTCTAGTGAAGGGCCTGGGCTGAAAGTAAGGAAGATGACCTTGATGGAAATATGCAAACTCTGTTGTCAGGCAACAAGGGCTAAAGCATTTTTTAAAACCCATAATATTCAGATAATGTTCAGAAGTGGCTTAGACAGAAACTTCCTTAATTCACTGAATGATAAGAAGGAAGAGGAGGTATAGCAAAATCAGACTTGCAAGTTTCTGTTTTTATAGCCAATCTCAATGAAAGTTGTTGTAAACATCCTGTGAAGTTGACTTCATGGCCTGGTGTACTTAGTGGGGCTGACTCATTGCCAGTAAGCAATGAAGTATTCAACTGAAGAGTCCTTAAGATTGTTGGAAAACTTCCTAAGTGCCACCAAAATCTGTCTGGATCTATAAGAGTCCTGGTACAAACCATTGCAAATGGCCCATTAATCTCACAGAATTCTCATATGGCAGTAAATCTTGTGACTTGACCATTACAAAAAGCCCTCCACATGGAGATCATAACACAATTGTTGCAAAGCAAAGTCTAATGTGTGATCATGTATATAGATCAGGTCCAGTTACTTGGGAGAAGCTCATGAGCACCATAAAGGATAGCCATGAACTCCCAAGCACTTCCAACTTGGCCCCAGATCACTGAATTTGGAGTCCAGAACCACCCTAGATACTATGTCAAACAATTTGAGGAAGGATTCCATCAGGCAGTAAAGGGGCTGGTATATCATCATATCCCTTTGGTCTAACCTAATCTATGGGCATTCACACTTGGCTATGTCAGGAGCACAATCTGTGGTCACGAGTAGAATCTGTGGTCAGAGGTTCTTTAAAGATCAACTTCAAACCGTATCTTCATTCCTGGTAGTGAGTCTGATAAAGGACCTAAAAAGGGAAAGCAGATTTCAGAGAGGATGAGAAAAATCATCTTTGCCAATCCAGATTTTGGTAATACATGCCAGGCAGGTAAGCCAGATTTCTGATCAACAAGATTCAGTTATGAGTAAATTTAACCAGAAATGGAGACCAGCACAAATTTGCTGGTCATCCTTCCTTGTTAATGGCAAACTTGGCGCCTCCTGGCATTACTTCCTCAACCCACCACAACTGGAATACTACCATCAACCCTGTCTGCAGTATCCAAATTCCCAGACAATTTCGCATGCATATATAGCTTGCAGTATCTCAATCATACAACCCCCACCCCACCCCTGATCCTAAGACTAATTCTAGCAAGACACTTGCCATCTACTGGGACTATTGATGCAACAAAAATCTACACCCCTGTTTTCTCTTTTTCTTCCACAAGCTTATGCTTTTCATTAATTGTCCTTGGATAGATACTGTACTTAAATTGCCTCTCCAACATTACTACCTTGATCCCAGAGTCTTTAAAAAGAATTTCATATTTTAAATTAGAAAAAAATGCATATATTTGTGTAATTTTGAATATATTTAATGGCTTATTTCAAATCCAGAATTTGAATTTATTAATAGAATTTGTACTGATGCAGAAATATAACTCATTTGATCATGGTCTATAGGATATTTGGATTTGTGCCTGAAGCAGTGAATTGGAAAAGGATCAGGGATTATTGTAGACAGCATCCTCCACAGGAACTCAAAGTTTAATGATGTGGCAAGCAGGGCTAATATAAACACTGTGTGTATATAAAAAGGATATCAAGCAGAATTTATATTGCTTCAGTACATAGCAGTATGAGCCCAGCACTCAAAATTGTGTTCAGCCCCAGCAGTTATGCAGTTTAAAGAAGGACAAAAGCGTATCAGAAAGAATACATGGCCAGATCAAAAATTCTCAGGATGTAAAATTCAAGGGTAAGATTCAAGCCACTTTATCACTATGCACATATACACAAAAAATGTACTGAAGAGCAGTGAATTGCAGATAGAGGAATCACAAGAGAGATTGTGAGAAAGGTGGCACATTTCTTAGCAACAGTTATAGAACTAGAATAAAACACATCATTTCAAAAGCCTTCAGGCAGTGCTAAAAGATTAGTCAGTGTGAGCCAAGCGTAGCTTTTGGCAGCTAAGACCTATATAACTTATGCAATCCATGCATGTGAAAAAGTGAGGGCCAAAGCTTATTGCAATATACATGCCAGGGGGAAAAATGCAGTAGATACAAGCAAATAAGTTTTTTGATAAAAGGCAACATTTATTGGAATGTTTCTGAGGAACCTGAAAACAAAATTATTCCTTTTCAATTGAGAAGAACTAAAATCAGTAGTTGATCACAAAAAAGAAAACCAAAAAACCCCACCCTCACTCTCACTTATTTGTCATTTGGAAGAGAAAAGAATTGGTTCACTATTCCCCATGCTGCTCCAGGTATCTAATATTTAAAGTCCCAACACAGTACAATACAATCCATCAGGAGTAACTAAGAATTTAACACCTGTCCCAGTTCACAGCCAAGCAACAAGAATATCACTCTTCTCTAGTGAAGGCCAACTTAAATAATTACTATAGCTTCTGTACAATTTCGTTATCACCTTGAAGTTCTCTTATAGCTCTCATTGCATCTTCTCTGGTCAATTTCTTACTGCTGATGCATTCAAATAATGTTTTATTGTTTACCTTAATATATAAGTAATTCTCAAGATGCTTCTCACAATCTTTTTTTTTTTAACAAACATTTTATTTTTGTGCATGTGTGTCTTTTTGTTCTTCCACTTTCATGAAGGAAGGTTGGTTAGCTGTAAGTCATAAGACTAGAGCAACATATTATTAAATTAACTTTCTCATGAAAGTAGAGCTTAAGCTGTGTACTTTAGGGCTACCATGTCTAGGCTGAAAACATCCAGATGACCATTAGATGTCAGTGAATACTTAGTTTTTGGTATATCTTTGCTGCCATCTAGTGATCATATGGATTTTTGCAGACTTAATATGGCAGCTCTACTTTATTTCTGTGGTATTTTAGAACCTTAGCACCAAGGAGTGTGGACAGCACATACATGTATGTCTTAATTTGTATTCAGTTGTGTATGATCTGTCAAAGAACTTCACAATCTTCTAGATTCTAGACTCTTGAACTTTAAACTACCGGCACAATTGGATTTCATACTCATACCTTTAACAGCTTGTCTTTTTCCTTATTCATAAGTGCACATGATCCTGCCATCTGCTCTCTCCTATCTTGGCAGTGAAGAAATAGATATTAGAGATGTGGTAAAGATGGAATGTATACCTATGTTGGCAGCTACCCTATGCTAAATTTACACACTGCTTATAAATGAGTATTTAAAGTCATTGGAATGATATGATTGAAACAGAGTTTAGGTAATTAGAGGGAAGAGACACAGTTCCCTTTCAGACTGCACACATTTTGACATGGGTAGCTACTACTTTAATTACATAAATCTATACTATCCAATTAAACAGGCTTCCATTTTAAAAATACTATATTTGTAGTTTGTGAAAGTACTTCAGCTTTTTATTTGGCCAAAATAGTTAAAAGTCTTTGATTCTTTTCTTATAACTAGTCCGGATGTGTACATATTGCTTCAAATATTAGCAGCAGTATACTTCTCAGCACCAGTTGCTGAGAAATTCAAGCAGGAAGATGATGTTAACATTCAAATTTTTATTTTCGTGTTCCCAAAGATTTCTGATTAGGGATTAAATGCTGGATTCTGTTGGTTTTTGAGTAGATAGCCAGTTACTTAATTCTTAAGTAACTCTTATACTTCTGATGTTTGCCATCTTTACCTCCAGCTTAAAAACTTTCAGCGTTTTGGAATTTTAAGTAATGAGCTTCAGTGCCAGTTAAAAAAGAAAAACATGGGGGAGGGAGAGTTAAGGACAAGATGGTAGGGTGGTGGATGTGTGTTGCAGGCTCCATTCGGATCAGATGGATTAATATGTTCTAGAGGGTGTTGGTATGTTGTAGAGGGCTGTAGAGTGGATGATTGTTTATAGATTGGACTATGTGGTTGGATGGTGAGTTTCTGCACTTACCTGGTCTTTTTCAACTCATTTTCCAATTAATGAAGTCAGACTGGACCCCAAGCCAGATCAGCTGAGCTGTGGAGACCTAGCTGGGTCCGGGGGAGGGCCAAATCAGCTATTATTAGTCTCCAATAATAATCACCACACTAACTACCCTAATCACCACACCAGCTACCCTTAGCTAGCCTGGTGAGAGTGGCTGGTATGGAGGGGTAATTGATTGTGGCTTGTAGAGGAGGGATGGGTTTCAGAATTATTCTAAGTTCCTGAGAGCTTAAGCTAAAGTGCCCAAGGGACTCAGTTTCTCCCCCACTCTGGAGTGTGTGTTGATATGTTGGGATCCCCTGTTTTGGGAGCTAAAGCACATAGAATGGAAGATGTTGGGGCCTTGGCGGACCAGGAGCAGGTGAGAACATGATGGTGAGAGGTGTGGGAAGATTTGGCAAGAGACTGGGGATGGACTGCTCTCAGGGAAGGTGGGCCTGGTGCCTTGTACCAGTTCCAGGTTCTAGCCTCTGGGACTCAACCCCATTTCCTGGTCAGCAGTACTTCAGAGGCTCTGGCTTTCAGCTGCTGCGGTTAAACACCAGCTTGGTCCACAATAAGATTTAATCACAGATGAGAGGGCTGACCTGGTGTGTATTACTGAGACCTGACTGGGTCCGGGGGAGGGCAGTTTCCCATCTCAGAAATGTGCCCAACTAGGTTTTGGGTGTGGCATCAGCTGAGTCTCCATGGCAGGGGTGAGAGTATAGCAGTTGTTATCTGGGAGACTCTTATAGCTTTCAGGGGTGTTGCTCCACAAATTTCTGGATATGAGACTCTGTTCCTTAAGATGGCCTCTAGGGATCAGTTAGGAGTGGTGCTATTGTACCAGCCTCCATGCTGTGTAGCAACCTGACCTTCTCAACTCTGTCTCAGGGTTGGCAGTGGAGTTCCCCAGGCTTATGGTCCTGGGGGACTTCAATCTCCCTTCTGACAGAAGGGAGTGGGTCTGAGATGACTCGGAGTTTGTGGCCACCATGACAGCC